AACCATTTTGTAAAATATGTATAATTTTTGGCGGCGTCTTCTATTTTCAAGTGAGGAAATATTTGTCTCAGAATATAGTTTGTTATGACTTGTGCCGCGAACAGCTCCGCAGATAGTTCTGATAGCGTCTAGATTTAACTTCTCTAGAAGAAGCGTTTGCTCTTTAGTGCAGTTATCCCATACATGACATGCGTAGTTAAATATTGGTAAAATAAATGATTTGTACATTGTCAGCAGCGTTTTCCTGTTGAAGCGATATTTAAAACTTTTTAGCCAGTTTATCATTGGACTGACTTTTTTTATGACATTTTCAATTTGACTATGCCACATACAATTTTGTTGAAGAACTATTCCCAAATGCTTGTGAGATGTGACGTCGTTTATGTTAGTGTTATCCATCGATAAGACTGGTTTCATATTCTGAATGTGTTTACGAGTAAATTGAATAGAGACCGTTTCATCTGGATTAAAATCAACTTGCCATTTTTTAGCCCAGTCTGATATTACAGATAAATCATTATTCATACATTGTGCTGCTACATTTGGATCGTTTATTACTACATAGAGTGAAGTGTCATCAGCAAACAAATGTATATTACTGTCAATGCCATCGACAATATCGTTGATATAAACTAAGAATAATAGCGGTCCTAAGACGGAACCTTGTGGTACGCCAGCTGTAACTGGTTTAAATTCGGAACTGAAGACGTTGATTACGACACGCTGTCTTCTATCGTCGAGGTAACGTTTAAACCATAAAAGTAGTTTGCTACAAATACCGTAAGCTTTCAATTTCTGAATGATTCCTCTGTGCCATACTTTATCGAATGCTTTGCTCATGTCGAAAAAAACTACTCTTATTTCCTTCCCTTTATCTAATCCTTTAGCAATAAAATCATAAAGGTAAGCCAATTGGTAAGATGGTGAATCTCCAGGGATAAACCCGGACTGAAGATTTGTTAGTAAGTTATTGTCTCTGAGATAATTAAATACATATTTGAAAACACATTTTTCAAATACTTTGGCTAAACAACTAGTTAGTGCTACAGGTCTGTAGTTGTTACATTCATTTATACTACCTTTCTTATGAATTGGTATTACTGAAGCCATTTTCCAAATGTCTGGAAATACTGAGTTATTCAGATAGGAATTAAACAATTTAGATAATGGGTCAGATATTACCAGAGCGCTGAGTTTTAATACTCAGTTACCGATACCGTCAACAGAAAGTAAAATATCTTTAACTTCACTGGAGCTCAATGTGATGGAGGATAATCTTTGATCCGTTTTTATCATTAATTCTAGTAGGTTTTGGTCAGGACTTTTTTACAATTCATAATTGTTACGATATCATCAAGATCATCGTATACTAAATTCCCATGTTTAATTGGAGGATTTTTGTATTATTCCCGGTGCATTTCAAGTAGTTTTTGACTATTAGCGCCACCAATGCTAACTACCATACGAGTCGTTTATCTTTCTATCGAATTTAGAGACATAATTTTTCTTTGCTGTGCACACAGCTGCTACAACTTTATTTCGGAGTTTACGAAAGTTAGCCCAATCGGAGGGTCGGTTGCGTCGTTTAGCGATTTTGTGTACACGGTTACGTTTTCGTATCAAACTATGCACTTCGCCAGACATCCATAACGGATGATTGGGTCTAATAGTAATTGTTTTGTTAGGGATATTTTTAGCACAAATCCCAAGAAAGACTTAGAGAACGAGTTTGCTGCTTCATCAATTGTGTCAGATGACAAGATATCTTGCCAAGGAACTGAAGTTAGGCTTTCAATAAGGTTGTCTTTATCAATCTTGTTGTAATTATAAATTGTCCTTTTAAAATTAATATTGTTCGGAATATTGTCCTTAAAGGTTACAAAAATCGGACAATGGTCGCTACATATTGGATCAGACATGCCTGAACATAACACGCTATCAACATTCGCTACAAACAACAAGTCAATCAATGTTCTAGAAGTGGGTGTGATCCTAGTAGGTTCGGTAATGAGCTGTTTCAACCCGTACATTGCCTTTAAGATTTCGATTTTAAAATTATTTTCTTTTAGGATATCAAGGTTAAAATCACCCGCTATAATAGTTTGAATATTTAAGGACATGGCATTGCATATTGATTGATCTATTAACTCCCAATAGGCTTCGCTTTTATCTGGACGATAAATGGTTCCAATTAAGTATTTTTTGGTTTTACATATGATTTGTATCCATTTTGCTTCTAGTCCTTGTATTGATAGGTGATCCATATCGTTAACGTAGAAATTATTTTTAACATATATAGCTACAACCCCATCCGGGCTTGGGCTGTCAGTACGGTAAGGCACATGAAAATTTGGAATCGAAATATCACTCTGAGGAATACCGCTATGTAGCTAGGTTTCTGTCACACAAATTACATCATATGAAGAGAGTTCAGACGAGAGTAAATCTACATTATCCTTCAGACTCCTTACATTTAAATGAACAATCTTCAGATTACCGTCTTTGCAAGAGCCAGGATTTGTATGATTATCGCCACAGCATAGTAATAATATTGAAATAAAAAGGAAGATGGGAGTTTTTAGTTTGTATATACAGACAGAAGAATATAATATAGATAATAAGAGAAATGAGCAACGTGCCTTGCTGGAGATATGCAAGTGAAATAATCCAACCGCCCGCCTGTACTGAGCTATATCAACCGGCATCTGGCATAAGTAAAAAGTAAATATACATAGGGACGGTTGGGAAGCGTAGGTAAATTTTTTTGCCAACATTTGTTTCATTGTAAAATGACATACAGTACAACATAAGCAGAGACAAATAACATACTAAGTAAACAAAAACTTCCTTGTTGAAGTTGTAATGCGCACAAATTATATTTATAAAAGCAGCACAAACAAAAAGTGAAAAGATAAAAAAGCAGATAAATAATATAATCTGCATAAGAGGAATGTTTTGGTGGGATAGGATTCAGAATAGGTGAGAGTTAGCGACCGCGTCAAGTGAGTTGAGAACGCGGCGTGTATAGCAAGATGCTCGTGCATGTGTGTCCGGTGACTAGGGGAAGTGTTGTGTAACACAGCAATCATGTCGGATATATCGTTGGGTAAATTACTGTGATTTTACTAAAAATGTGAGTACTTGTCTTAGATTGTGTTAATTGTAACAGTGTAGATGGCTATATAATTGTTGCGTACCAATTACGCATTTAAAATGTTAGATACGCAAAAAGTTTAAAACAAATGCGTACGGAATATATTTTAAAAAAACGCTTGCGTAATGAAAAAGACATTGATTGCTATCAAGTTGTATTGTTAGTATAGGACAAGTGTTGTACTGTCAGTATAGGATGAGTGATTTGTTATGAAATCCAGTGTTCACGAATAGCGTCTGACCCTCTGACAAATCCGGCAGATTCAGCAAAGGTCTGATAGAACTGTACAACCCGCCAGCCCCAGTGTCTGACTGTATATTTCACAATGACTTTGACTGAAGTTGTTATATGTGACATGTGACACTTGTTTGCTGTTTATAAATCTTATGTTTGTTAATAATTTCAATGCCAATTATATGAAATGTTAAATCTGAAATGTGTGTTTAATTTTATTCTTTGGGTCCTGTGAATTTTCAATGGGTCAGACAGACATCTGAAGCTTAAAGGACCCAATGTCCTGTTACATTGAAACACCATTCGTGAACACTGGAAATCATTTCCATTATATTTAAGTTGGTTTTGATTAAGTATGACATAAGGCAGAACATACCTGCTTAGTAAACTTACTCAATGACATAATACTTAGGTGAGTAAAATGGCTGAAATACGCACATGTTTGAAAGCAGTGGGTAACGGAAAATGAAATGCCCACTCAACATTCATAATACCCACTCCCAAAAAAATACAGTGGGTACAGTACCCACATGAGCTAAATCTTACCTGGAGCTCTGAGTTACCGAGATAAAAACACACCTCTACACACCACCACCCCCTCCCAAGCTGACCTATAATAACCGCCACCAAGCATAAGGAAGGAAGTAAATATACATAGGGACGGTTGGGTTGGAAATATAGAAAATTGGAAAGCGTGGGTAATGGTTGTTTTGCCACACTTGTTTCACTGTAAAATGACATACAACACAACATAGAGACAAGTAGCATACAAAGTAAACAAAATATTTCTTGTTGGAAGTTGTAATGCACTCAAGCTATACTTATAAAGGAAAACAAGCATAATGTGATAAGATAAATAAGCAGGTAAATATTATAATCTGCATAAGAGGAATGTTTTGGTGGGATAGGTGACAGCTAGCGACCGCGTCGAGTAGGAGTTGATAACGCTGCGTGTATAGCAAGATGCTCGTGCATGTGTATCCGGTGACTTGGAGAGGTGTTGTGTAACATAGCAATCATGTCAGATATATCGTTGGGTAAATATTGTGGTTGGATTTTCCTGAAAATGTGAGTACTTGTCTTAGATTGTATCATTTGTAAACTAGATGGCTATATTTGTTATGTTAGATTATTTGACAGGTTGTTGTGATGAAGCATTAAAGGGAGAATTACAGTTTATGTAGGTAACATAAAATATATATGTGGTTATGTAATATCAATCTTAGAGATAAAACAATAAAATAATGACTGAAGTTGGGTAATTAGAAATGTTTAGATGTATATTATTTATGAATTACTGTGATTGAATTTTACTGAAAAAGTTAATACTTGTCTAGGATTGTACAGGGTTTCCACTAACAAGAAATTACACCTATAACCATACAAGAAGTTGAACAGTTCACTCACTCACTCACTCACTCACTCACCATGTTTCTTTATATTTCTACCTTCACTGTTTCAACCTTTCCTCAGTCGGTCACCATGGTTACCATCTGGTGCAAGATGCCAAACTTTCTGTACTTGACTAATACATTGCTAATTATTCTGCTATACTACCATATGAAATACAAATATAAATGTATGTCAGAGTAAGTTTGGATAAACATTGAACATTTTGTTTTGAAAATCAGGCATATCTTGATCTTGGTAGTAATATATTTACATTAGTGACGACAACATGTTAAAATTTATGCAATGATGGAATCAGGAAATTAGCAACGACTTCCTGTCATTGAAAAACAAAACTATTTCTGATCAGTTTCCTGTATATAATGTGCCGATTACCTCCTCATCCGTTGTTGCCATAGCAACATTCAGAAAGTGGAAATGTGAGCTGGGAACGGTATTTTTATTCAGGTTAATAAACAATACGACATGAAACTATGCATTTAACATGTTGTGGTTCATAGTGTGTTGTGGTACATGTATGTTGTGTTCACGAATGGTGTTTCAAAGTAACAGGACATTGGGTCCTTTAAGCTTCAGATGTCTGTCCGACCCATTGAAAATTCACAGGACCCAAAGAATAAAATTAAACACACATTTCAGATTTAACATGTCTTATAATTGGCACTGAAATTATTAACAAACATAAGATTTATAAACAGCAAACAAGTGTCACATGTCACATATAACAACGTCGGTCAAAGTCATTGTGAAATATACAGTCAGACACTGGGGCCAGTGGGTTTTAGACTTCTATCAGACCTTTGGCGAATCTGCCGGATTTGTCAGATGGTCAGACGCTATTCGTGAACACTGGTATGTTGTGGTACGTAGTAGTGCTGGTTATCTCTCACAATATACAGATCAGCAATCAGAGCTCAGTGATCGATCAATAATCAAATATAATCATAAACCCCAGCTCTAAACTCATGTGGGCAACAACAGGACACAATCATAACATTGTGAAAATGAAACAGGCATGATTAGTTCTACCACAAGACGATCAAGGCTGCTTCCTGTTAAGATTGCATAGTCTGTTGTTTACATTGCAGTTTTATGAGTCAGGAAACTGCATCAGTTGTTTATGTCTTGTTATAACAAATATAACAATGAGAAACATACTTTCTAAAGTTTATTCTTCCAAGCAAGGGGACCCGTGTAGATCTGGGGTAGAATAGGTATTCAGCAACCCATGCTTGCCACAAAAGGCGACTATGCTTGTCGTAAGAGGCGACTAACGGGATCGGGTGGTCAGACTCGCTGACTTGGTTGACACATGTCATCGGTTCCCAATTGCGCAGATCGATGCTCATGCTGTTGATCACTGGATTGTCTGGTCCAGACTCGATTATATACAGACCGCTGCCATATAGCTGGAATATTGCTGAGTGTGGCGTAAAACTAAACTCACTCACTCCAAGCAAGGGTAGGACAAAATCCCATCCACACAAAAATCCCACCCAGACAAAATTCCATAGGACAAAATGTCTGCACACTGCAGACAAAACCCATCATTGTGAAAAATGACATACAATATATTTTGTAATAGATATTTATATTTTCCCTCATAAATAAGCAGTATTGATCATAAGCACTAATAACATGATTCAATGTAATCTCATAACATAATGCATCATCCTGGTATATCGTCACGATATGGCTGAGATATTGCCGATGTGACGTTAAATAGTAACTCACTCATCCTGGTATATTTGGTATATGGTACATGTAATCATCCATTAAAGCATCTTTCTAGAACATCATTGTCATTGTACATCTTAATTGATGTATGACTGGATGACTGTGAGATGTAGCAAGAACCGGATTCTCCATTGTCAAAGATGTCTTCATGGACCCACGACATTCAAATGCAATTTTTCGTGAACATTCCCACCTAATACTACTCTTATTTGTAACCTTGTTAGTGTACAAACATCCATCTAATGCTACTTTAACTCGTCCCTTGAAGCTCTTCAGTTCTTCCATTTTGGAACACTGATAAATCTGTCAACATCAAAGACACATTTGTAAAATTTATCAATGCAGCCACTGGCCTCTGTTGCGAAAACATGCTAATCTACTTATCTGACTGGCTTCTGTCATGAAAACAAGGGTAGCAAGAACATACAGTAGAATACTTTTATATCAAACGTCGGATATAACGAATTGACGGCTATAGCAAACTGTTTTAAAAGTCCTGAATAAACCTTATATTATCATATAAAAAGGTGAATAGCGAACTACGGATATAACGAACTAATTTCAGTGGTCCCCTGGAGTTCGTTATAAAGGTATTTTACTGTATAAAAATGGGATTTTGTCCTATGTTGGTCATTTTGGTGTGGGATTTTGTCCTATGGGATTTTGTCTGGTTGGGATTTTGTCCATCCCCCATCCAAGCTCATTGATAATCACTGATGCAAGCAAGATTGATCAATTGAGTGATTGTTCGATTAATCACTTCAGCACTACTACATAATAATGTTATGTATTCTGGTACTTAATGTATTCTGGTATGCAATACATGAATTATTATTACAATTAACTGTGATATGAAATTCAGGCCAGTGATCATCACTTTCACAAATATAACTAATTCAGGAGAAATTGAAGCTCATAAAGGAATCATTAATAATAATAATAATAATAATAATAGGCCACTTGTATTGCGAATTACTCCATGCTTGATGCATGCTCGAAGCTCACAGTCAAATAAAAAGAGTTCAGAGCTGTTGAAAGAGATAGGTCTTGAGATGACGTCTGAAAGACATTAGATTTGGAGATCTTCTGATTGATTCTGGGAGGCTGTTCCACAGGGATGTCGCTGCATATGAGAAGGAACGCTGGCCATATCTCACAGTCTTGATGTTGGGCATGCGACACAGTAGCTTGGACTCAGAGCGTAGGGATCGAGTGGGAGAGTAGATAGGCAGGAGGTCCTGTAGGTAGCCTGGAGTGTTGCCGGACAGACACCGGTGGGCTAAGCAGAGGATCTTGAAAGTAATCCTGTGCTGCACTGGAAGCCAGTGTAGATCCTTCAGGATTGGAGTGATATGGTCTTGTTTACGGGCAAGTGACACAATCCTGGTGGCCGTATCCTGTACACACTGGAGACGATTTATCTGCACAGCAGAGGCTCAAACAAGGAGACTGTTACAGTAGTCGATCCTTGTCATGACTAGGGACAGTATGAGAATGATGGCTGATTCTTTGGTCAAATATTTCCGGATGTTGCTGATGTTCCTCAACTGAAGAAAACACATCTTGGTTATTTGACTGATGTGACTGTCCATGGAGAGGACCGAGTCCAAGATTACACCTAGGTCTTTGACACTCTCTGACACTGGTACCTGACAGTATCTCCAATAACCAAGGTAGTGAATCCGGACTCTTAACACCATGACTTTGGTACAACCACAACACACTCCATTTTTTCAGCATTCAACTTGAGCTTGTTGGTCGACATCCATTTCTGTATGTCATGACAGCAGTTTGTCATAGCTTGAGCTGCTCACCGTCCTTCAGATTGATTAGGCTTGAAGAGTAATGCCAGCTGAGTGTCATCTGCGTATAGATGCCTGTTGATCTCATGTACCTTAATGATTGAACCAAGTGCCTTGGTGTACAGTGTGAATAGAACTGGACCCAAAACCGACCCCTGTAGCACACCACTTGACAGATTCACTGGAGCTGAATAGACACCATCGATATACACTGATTGATACCGATTCGACAGATAGGATTTGAACCAGGACCCTACAGTACCATTGAGGAAGAAGTCATCCTTGAGGCGACTCAGAGTAGCATCTGGTGGTCTATGGTATCAAAGGCTGCGCTCAAATCTAACAGCACCAGGAGGCCAACATTACCACTGTCAATACCATGTCTGAGGTCGTTGAGGACTTTCATTACAGTTATATTCAACAATTGAAGCAGCTGTCAAAGTGATGTAAAAGATTAATGACACAGTCAATGACTCCAATAATTATATTAAATAGACCCATCTACATAAAAGCAGCAGATGTCCCACTAAGCGTAAATTTTATGTACCAATTAATAAATTATTTGAGAATCCCGAAAGACCATTGCCTCGACTGAACACTGTGGGGGGAAAACATGAAATAACACAGGCTTCCTTGATACCAAGTATTGTGCCCAGACAAACTGTTATGTCTAGACACAAACCCAGATAGACTCGTCCTACAGCAATGAGAATCAACTTCTTTGGGTTTTTTTGTGGGAAGAAAACAATAAATTATACAGGCCTCTTTGACACCATCTTGGTTAATGAAAGTGTTGAATTTAATGTTTTGTTTATGTCAAAAGTTTGTCTGTCCATCCATTCATCTGGCCAAACATATTTTTGTTCAACCAATAACTTGAAAATTATTGGTTAAATTGTTTTCATATTTTGGAACCCCCTTCTTTGTGTAAAGAAGAGATGCAGTGCAATTTTGATTCTGATATTTGAATTTTTTAAGAATCACAGCAATTTGGAAATTTGAACTAAGAAAATTTTGTTCAACCATTAACTTGAAAACGTTTGATATGATATTTGATTTTTTAAAAGAAATTACATCAATTTACAAATTTAAACAAGTTTGTTCAACCAATAACTTCAGAAGTTTTGGTCAAAATATTTTCAAATTTGGACAACAGGTTCTTTGTCTAAAGCACACATGCAGTGCAAAGATTGGTTCCAATTTTCTGATTTTTGAAAGCATTGCATCAACTTACATATTTTGATCTTAAACAAACCAAAAGGAACATTTGTTAAACTTGAACACATTTGAATGGATAGTTTTCACATGGAGAATCACCTTCCATATCTAGAGGATGTTTACAGGGCATTGCACTGCAAGGTTTGAAACAAATCTTGTATTTTCATCAAGAATAATCATTATTAATTGTTTTGCAGCTAAAGTTGGGAGACAGTTGGGATATTACTAAGCCTTGCTCACATTCTTTGGCTTGTTTGTTAAACAGTTGAAACCAATAAATGTATCATAGGCAACCTGCAGCATTAGAAACATTCAGCTATTGCTTCACCACACATGAAGCACAGAAATTGAATATTTTTAATTAATGCAAATATAAACTCTGTAAACAATGTGAGTTCAAATTGGAATTCACATCAGCAACATGACATGAGCAAATTATGAAGTGATATTTAAGACTGTCATAGAACGATATGATAAATCAGTGAGCAATATATCCCAAATTGACTTAAGACTAGTTGCAGAACATTACAATATGATAAGAATGTGTGTAAACATGTGTAGCAGGGCGTGGAGTCATCCCACAGATGACATCCTTACCTTGTCATCTTGCTGACGGGGTTAACCTCTTTGGTCATGTGGACAAGGCATCCGACTTCGAATTAGAAGGTCCGTGGGGATTCAGAAAGTTTATGGCCACTACACATGCATCAGAAAAGTGCAATGGTTCTGGATCTGCATATATTTGAAAACTGTGTGTTTTGTGTCATTTACACAAATTAGGTGAATAAGTATCATCTTGTACAAGTATAGAGTATCTTATCACATGAAACTTTGCAAGATACATTATTTATTGTTTATCGGTATCATTATCAGTTTTTGTTCTTATGAAGGGGCGGTGGGGTAGCCTAGTGGTTAAAGCGTCCGCTCGTCATGCCGAAAACCCGGTTCAATTCCCTACATGGCTACAATGTGTGAAGCCCATTTCAAGTGTCCCCTGCCATGATATTGCCTCAATATTGTTAAAAGTGGCATAAAACTAAACTCACTCACTCATTGTTCTTATGGAGAGATTAACAGCATCTGACAGCATTGGGAGATCTTTGTGTTGAACATGCTGGATAAAACCCCTGCTAAAGTAAACTTCATGTAGAGCTCACAAAAGTTGCATGGGTGGATTCAGAGATGAGATGGGCACCCCTCTAGTCAGACACTACCATGTCAAGGTGCCAGGCCCAATTTCTCATCATTAACTGATTGTCTTCCAAAAACATTAGAAGAGATTCTTGATAAGCATTTAGATGAGGTGAAATTAGTTTTACCGCGGCTTGAGAATTTTAGAAGGGTGAATATATAAGACAAGTATATGGATGGCAACTTCTTCTTTTTTGTATAACACTACATTTCTGAGCAGACTTCTTGCCCCTTCTTCAGGTGATTAAAGAAAGATGAAGGAAACAAACTATATATACTGGCCACATAAAGAAACTGTGCACACAGAAAATATAAATATAGGCACACAGCGTATTTATACATGAATACATTTGTGAACATAGCAAGTATTGGAGACAATCAAACGCTCATGCACGTGCCAGGCAACGTGACGTCATTGACGGTGGCGTATGGCCTTGCAATGTGTTACTGCACGTGCAGCCCGTACAGCTGCACACAACATGTGAAACTCTGAAATTGCTGTCACTGTCGAAAGCTTGATCTTTGGTCATTAAAACGTTCACAAATCCACAAAGTCACATGCACATCATGCCAAGATTAACATCTGCTCAACGTCATGAAGCCATTGGAATGGTTGCAGCAGGAATGAGCCAACAACAGGTGGCAGCACATTTCCAATGCCATCGTAACACTATATATGCATGGGTCAGGCGTTATCGAAACAGTAATGACGTCGCCGACCACCCACGTTCTGAAGCCCGGCGTAACGACGCCAAGACAGGACAGGTGGATTCGGTGACTCATCTCAGATACAGGTTCCAGACAGCAGTGACCACGCCCCAGACGATTTCCCAGGCCTCCAATGCTCATTTGGTAGCCTCTATGCATCGTCGTTACACTGCTGTGCTTCACGCACATGGTGGTCATACCCATTATTGATATAAAGGAACACGGGAACATTCAAGGGTTCCTGTAATATTTTCCAGTTTTCATCACCAACTTTGAATAGGGCTGTGGGAGGAAATCTGAGAATAAATAAAGGAACACTGCCATGAAGTGGTGTTCCCTTATTTGTTTCCCTCAGTATATTTACACATGATGCTGTAACCACACCTAAAACGGAAATGTAGGACTAAGTAGACTCGAACCAATGAGGTTTCAGTGAATAACGGAATGATATCCCACCTTGCCGAACTGGTTGCATGGAAAAGCTATAATCCGTAATCCGGGCGAACCAAATTCCTGCTGGAGTGCCTTCATGCCGTGGTACTGCCGGGTCCATTGTCAGTAGGTGGCGACGTTGACGATGAGAACGACGTCCCCGCTGTAGTGATCAAGCTTCACCATCCTCTGATGATACACATCGCGGAATTTGTGCTCGTAGATGGTGTCGTTTGACCCTGGGGCCTGCCGGCACGTGACTCGAGACACGCGGTCCGTGGGGTTCAGTTGTCCCACGGTCGGGACAGCGCCACCTAGGGTCGCCACAAGGAGAGCGACGAGCGGGTTCATCTGACGCTCCCTCGTGACCGGCAACGGGAACGTCGTTGACGGGTTAATGTATTTATACCAGGGGATCATGGGTGGACATTTGGCCCTGGCACGCGTGATTGGCAGTCGTGGAGCATGGGGTATTAATGTCGCCCGCCGCTTGTGGTATTTACGTTTTACGTTGGCGTTGATAGCGTTGACGTCAGTGCTTTCGGACAATTTAAGCGGTGCTAAACAATTCATTATTTCAAAGCATGAGGACATTGACATATATTTTAAACCTTACGACACTAGTATTCACAGACTGGTATATATCAAACGTACGTGTATCCAATGATGAGAGCGTGAATAAGTGAGGCTGTCAGTCAGATAGGTTTTTTAACCTCAACATTTTTATGCATGACAGAAATACAAAGAAAACTTTCCACGTCCTTAAATAACACCTGCCACACACGATTGTCGAATGTATTATTCTGCCTAACTCATGAACATGTGTGTATGAATCAGTATCAAATAGTGTTGATACGAGGTGTTTCCGAAACAAATGAGGTTATCCAATCCCCACGGTGGCATGGTTATAAACACAAGGCAAAGGCTAGTCAAGTAAAGTCCAAAATGTCGCATGTCGTAGATGTTTACTGCATATTTCAAATCATGCTCAGCTGTATGACAGCGGCATGTCAATAGCCGAGATCCAGTGATTGATATTATGACGACCTATTCCGTCGGGGCACGTTGACACGCCATCTCCCAGGTCATCGAGCCCAGATTCATTTAGTCGCTTCTTCCTTTTGGGGCCGAATAATAACCCGTAATTCCAACTAGTTTCACAGTTCAGGAACAAATAAAAGGGAATAAAAATGTGACAATATCTATAAGTGAGTGAGTTGGCATTACGCCGCTTTTAGCAATATTCCAATATCACGGCAGTGGACACCAGAAATGGGCATCACACATTGTACCCATGTGGGGAATCGAACCCGGGTCTGCGGCGTGACGACGAACGCTTTAACCACTGGGCTACCCTACAATATCTATAAGAAAGTGGTAGTTTCAAGTAGTGAAAACAATAACCAGAGTCCTGCATTTCTAAAGAACAAATTGTATCCACGATAGAATATAGACAATGCAACACTTGGACACATAACCTGAGCTTCGTTCTCACTTACCCTACTAGTGAGTATTCAAGCGGAGACACTAAAGGAAATGTGTTCTTTGTTAAATATCACTACGTCATTGCTGGATCAAAACCGTGTCAGCTGAAGCGACGCGAAGTAATGAGGCGTCTCTCATCACTGGGGTTGTTTGGTGGAAGCGATGACAAGCTAAATATTGATACAGACAAGCTATAACAGAGATTTTTAACTTCTATAGACATGGGTTGAAAGATGTGAAACTTCTTCATTTTCAATACCGATTTTTGCAAAGAGTTATTTATACTAAAAACGAATTAATGAAAATGAACCTGATCGACAATGATTTGTGTAGTTTTTGCAATGATGTTTCTGAGAGCATTTGTCATGTTTATTGGGAATGTTGTGAAAGCATGAAATTCTGGAATGATCTAGAACTCTGGATTAATAACTATTTACCTCGAAACATAAACATTACAAAATACTTTATTTGTTTGGTACATTGCATAATGATGCTTACTAAATCAAATCATTATCTCTGCTAAAAAACATATCAATTTATGTAATATTGAAAATCAATTCCCAAATTCATTAATTACAAAAAGGTATTAAAAGAGATATTTTCTGCAGAAAAAAATATTTCAAAGAGAAACTATAAAATCTTAAATGGAATTCACTCATCCCAATATTCAGCAACTAATTATAATTACATCTTTACGGGGGCGGTGGGGTAGCCTAGTGGTTAAAGCGTTGGCTCGTCACGCTGAAGACCCGGGTGTATGTATGTATGTATGTATGTATGTATGTATGTATGTATGTATGTATGTATGTATGTATGTATGTATGTATGTATGTATGTATGTATGTATGTATGTATGTATGTATGTATGTATGTATGTATGTATGTGTGTGTGTGTGTGTGTGTGTGTGTGTGTGTGCGTGCGTGCGTGCGTGTGCGTGAGTGGATGTTTGTTTGTTTGTTTCTTTGTTTATATGTTTGTGTTTTTGTTTGTTAAGGCGTCATTTTTTATGTGTTTCACGGAATCACCAAATTCTGAACATGGGTCGGTCGGTCGGGGAAAAAAACTTAATACAGACAAAATTATCCAAATAATAAATTAGAAGGGTCGGTCGGGCGATGAGAAACAAAAAAATTAAAATGCTGCCCTTAGTGCTTGTGTTTGTTTGTGAGTTACGTTCCACATCTGGCACAGGAGACGCTACCTTTTCGAGAACGTTTACTGTTGTTTTTTTTTATAAATGTTCATAAGCACGTGTTTATGATGTAATTGGATTTGTACAAAGGCCTCTCGATTCAGCAGGGATTGCTTATGATTGTGGAAATGTTAATAATTCACATTGTACAATCTAATAAAATGTAGTAATAAGGTAATACATATGCACTAACACTTTAACATACCATGCCAGTGTAAGGTATCGTAATACTGATACATGTAATATGTGACAGGTTACATGTGCCATTTCTATATACTACTCACACTTTGCTAAGGTCACCATACCAGTGTAAGGTATCGTAATACTGATACATGTAATATGTGACAGGTTACATGTGCCATTTCTATATACTACTCACACTTTGCTAAGGTCACCATACCAGTGTAAGGTATCGTTATACTGATACATGTAATATGTGACAGGTTACATGTGCCATTTCTATATACTACTCACACTTTGCTAAGGTCACCATACTACTCACACTTTGCAAGGTCACCATACCAGTAAGGTATCGTAATACTGATACATGTAATATGTGACAGGTTACATATGACATTTCTATACTACTCACACTTTGCTAAGGTCACCATACCAGTGTTATCGTAATACTGATACATGTTATGCTAAGGTTGCATGTGCACACTTTGCTAAGGTCACCATACCAGTGTAAGGTATCGTAATACTGATACATGTAATATGTGACAGGTTACATGTGCCATTTCTATATACTACTCATACTTTGCTAAGGATCACAAAAATTCACAACTTTACTTAAACGTAGATTTATAATTTGAAATTGTATCCATTTAAAACTGGATAAATAATAATATGGTAATCCCTCTTTAGGCAAACAATCACTTTAATCTAACCTTATGCACTTGATACATGAGTAACCATAAAAATGGTTTTCATGGCACAAATCAACCATTTTGCAAATCATGAAACGAGTCATTGACAAGTACACAACACCCGTCAATAGCAGGTATGGGATCCACAAGATGAAATGACACACTGAAACCTAGGATCCATGCTTACAATGAGCTTTGATATGTAAATCCAGTTTGACCCCACATCGTTGTTTTCTGTTGATTTGATCCTTAGCAAAGTATGAATAGTATATAATGAATTGTAATATATGGGATAACACACTGATTTATATGTGTTCGGAGTATATATGACTTGTGATGCTATAGTGGTATGTCATAATATCGTGACATACATAAGCAGTGAAATATGTCCAAATACACTGAGGTAAAGCACAAATTTCCTTTTAGGTCCTGTTTCTTACTTTTCCTTAGTCGAGCTGTAATCTAACCGAAAGATGCCATGAGATTGTGTACGTAAATACATAATCGGACAGTCCTAAATACATAAATCAGACTATCTTAGGACACGTATGTCTTGTTTGGACAATCAACCCATTATGGTTCCTGTTACTTAGGGCATGGCTGTTTGTAGGTTAAAAAGGAACCTCGCAAGCTGATCTTAGTGTCCCAGAAATACATCTTTACTCTTTGTCGTCAGAGCTTGTACAGATATTGAACAGGCAGTAAATAAATATGATAACGCATTGTTTACACCATGTCGCTAGGTCCTTGTAAATATAGGGTGCTCTTAAAACCATTCTCCAGGATGTTGTATGAGGTGACATACAACCAACATAGAAGAACCGTCTTTGTGGGATGTTTGTCTTGTAATGTTTTTTTGTTTCCAACACAATGCATTTAAGACCGCAATTGATCGTCAGTGAGGGAAGCAGGTAGTTGTTGATGTCGTAGGTGACCAAGGCAACAGCTTACTGTACAGCTTCAGCACTGGAACCGGCTATAATGTCCCTCCATCACCAGCAAGCCGCTCAGCATCACTCACAGACGATCAAAACAGCATCAATACCGATTTTCATACCTTAGCTGACACCAAGAATATTATTACAGCTCAAACATAATCCTTTAAATTGCTAGCATAGCTGGCGAATGCAGATTGGTAGCTATGTTTAGAGCGGTGGATTGTTGTTCTAGAAATCAGCTTACAAAGGTGACGTCTTGACAACCACCAGCGTCCGTGATCAAGCGCCATGGCCTGATTGCTGTATTATATCGATCGTTCTGTTCCCTTAGGGGCATTTTGTAATTTCGGCCAACAATGATGTTGGAAGGACCCAGATTAAGAGAAAATAACAGAGGAAAATAAACTCGTTAATCAATTCCGTTTGTTAGCATGGAAGGGAACACTGTTCTAATAGGCCTGGTTGTTTCCTTGTTGTAGAGCTGACAGTGTTTTGTGGTACTGAAGTTGGTCTGGTTGTGTTTGTCATGTGTGGAGTTTGACTGTTAGTGGTGTCTATCAATGGCGGTCAATACTCCACACAGCGTGACGACGTTGTTGTAGAACTGCTCCATCAGTCAGCACCGACTATCTTGATTATTGGCTATACACGTGTTTTATAAGTGGAAAATCAATTGAGAATCAATACCAGTTATTATTTCAGAAATAGATTTTAGTAACTTTATGCCAATCCCACGAGAGTAACAATTCTTGTTATATATGGCATTGCTTCCATGTCTGCAATCTACATCTTCGATCCATGACATTACTTTTTGTATAAACGAAACAAACCGCCACAACGTTAATAATTCACGCGGTGTCTTTAAGCGAGGGATTGTCTAGCGCTGCTGGTACTGCTAAGGTCACGTGGACCAATCAGATATCAGTAAACCTGTGACGTCTCCAATCCACCTGCCTGTACCCGTCGCGGTCTTGGTCTCAACCCTGCAATACTTACTTGACAATGAGCAAATGGCGGCCGGGGCAATGATACTACTTCTTGCATCTTTGGTACGTACGACTGTGATACTGACGTGTTTTTTTTAAATAAAATTACCTGTAAAGTGATGGGCAGTAATAATACGTGCATTTTTTGTTGTAGGTATTACAAGCTACACAAGTCTACTCCGCAGGTAAGTGGAACGTTCCCTAATGGTCCCACGCGACACCTAAGCGTATATGGAAAGTGTTTTGTAAATGTTGTCGAGGAAATGTGTTTTGTGGAACAATCTATCTGATAGCTACGTACTGACATGTATCTTGTCTCGGATTAATTGTTCACATACATGTAATGCAGCTTATTTAAAAGTAATTACAAAATAGTCATTCTAATTTGCCATTGCAAAATATGAAAGATCAAAATTAATGTTCCTATCTATGATTTATTACTTTGATTTGTGTACATGTAAGTAAACAGAAGTTTAAGAACAGTCCATTATTATGTATGACTATAGCAAAAATGCCATAGCCTGATAGCTTGGTATTGCTGTTAAACATTTACAATTGAAATATGTTCTAAAACCACTATTCTGCAGCAAACTATCTACATAATTTGTGTTCTGTTAAATGACGCGAAGCGTTAGACACGTCACATTGATGATAAAGGACCATAGGACAACTACACGTATATTTTCACAAATTCTTTGCGTTTTGTGTATTTGTGAATTGATATAAGTATCCCAAAGTATCCTGTTTGTAATCTCTTCAATATTGTCTTCACCTACTAAGTGTAAGAGAGTCCTTGTAAAGGTATAAGATTTGAAACATAGCATACGTATAAATTGACAATTCCTTTCATTACCAACTTAAGTTTCATTATTCCTCTTCGCCCCATTGTAACATTATTCACCTAAGTTTACAGTCATATTCTCCTTTGTCCCATAGTTTCCGTGTTCCTGTTCGCCCTAAAGTTTCACTATTTCCCTTTGGCATAACGTTTAGTTATTATTTTCCTTTGCCCTATAGTTTCACTATACCGCTTCAGCCTAAATTATCTCAATACCTCTTCGCGCCTTAGTTTCACCATTTCCACTTCGTCTATTTCACCATTGTTTCACTGTTCCACTTCGGTCTAATTATTATTTTTCGCCCTGTAGTTTTACTATTCCGATTTGCCCCGTGATTTCACTATTGTCCTTCGTCAAAGAGTTTAACTATTCCCTTCCTCCCTTAGTATCATTATTCCGCTTCGTGCCTTGGTTTCACTGATTTCGTTTATCTAACAGCTTCGCTGTTACCCTTCATTCTTCATTTTCAGTACCCATTGGTTTTACTATTCCACTTAGTACGATAGTTTCACTATTACCCTTTAGCCTAAAGTTTAACAATTTCCTCCGGCTTATTTTGTAGTTTCACTATCGCGCTGCAGCAATACCGTTTCACTATGACACTTCGCCACGTAATTTCACCATTTCCTTCGGCCAATAGTTTCATTATTAACTTACAGCCTAAAGTTTCACTGTTTCCCGTCGGTCTAATGTTTGGTTCTTCCCACTTGGCCCTACAGTAGCACTATGTATCTTTTCGGGGACGGTGGGGTAGCCTAATGGTTAAAGCATTGGCTCGAGCTCGTCACGCCGAAGACAAAAGCGGCGTAAAACCAAACACAGTCAGTCAGTCAGTGTATCTTTTCTAAAAAAATATCATCATTGCTTTCTCCGTCTGGTTCCCCTTTCTGGCCAACTGAGAGGTATTTAGAATACAAATATAATTTAGCTAATAGTATGTACTGAAACATTCAAAATTGCTAAAGCCAATTTGTTTGTGATTATCCAGTTTGTCTTAATATCATGAAACCTGGGAACTCTACCCAAATGAAGCTATAAACAAGCGCTGCGAGAATCGTTGCGTTGTAAGTCATATATGGTTGTAACTACCCGCCTGCGTTGTGCAGTTGGTGGAGTCTGCCAAGATACGGGAAGGTCGGGGTGCATTCCTAGCAAAATACGTTTTAGAAGATGACATTTGTTGTTAGAATGCCTGGCGCTCGGCATTAAAGGAATAAAGCAAGGACTTGTCGGATCTGAGTCAGTATGATATGTCTAAAGGGCGCATCCCTGTTAAAATGCGGTATCATATCTAAGCGCGCTTACACACGTCCAGACAAGTAGCCACACACACCCTTACATTGTGTGTCTCAGTTCCTAAACCACACGACTTTCCCTTCCGCCCAACCTTTTCTGCTATGCAAAATCCTTAAATAAAACAAGTATTCCTCCAACGGATACTAGTGGTTGGTGTGGTGAGATTGTCGTCCACCGGGTCAAAAAAGAGGTCGGGGGTCACCTTCGTCATTTCCAGCCAATATTACTCATGTCGAATAAAACCACCTCTCTGCCACACATGGACGTGTTCTTCTGGGCAGTCTTCTAATGAGTCCACAAATGTCTACTTGGATCGTGTTGTTCTACACATCACTGAGTGCAGCACCGCGTTTCATTGTGAGAAGTGGATGGATTTTGACGTTGATGTCAACGTGTGCCAGTGACGTCCCAGAAAGGTTCACTGGAAGATAGGCCAGGAGTGCTGGCCAAGGCATGACGTCGATGTTTTACAGTTGGAAGAATTAGATTACAAATTCGGCACGATGAGCACATGCGTTTTCATACAGAAAGATAAACTGTTTCTCAACACGACGTGAAAATGGTGAAGGGTGACCCTATAATATTGGCATGTGACATGGACAATATGGAGCGCAATTCGGCTAGTGAATATGGACCCTATACAGTTAAGGGCCAGCCCCAAAAACGATTACAGTGTTGGTCGTCAAAGTCCATAAAATATATACTCATAGGGACGTCTCCAATGTTGATTCCTTCGGTGGAGAGTGAACCTGGATTCTGCCCAACGTCGATCAAGGCAAGGTTCACAAACCATATACCACTGACGCCCCCAAGTTACATTACGTGCATTTTGAGCTAAAACGTGCACGTCGTGGACGCAAAGAGCATCTATGCAGACGATGGTGTATTTGTACACCACTTGCCGGTTTTAACAGTCCCTTATTTTAGTGGAAGTTTGCAACCGTTTTATAATGCTCTGCCTAACCTGTCTTGGACTAGGGGCGATGGGGTAACCTAATGGCTAAAGCGTTGGCTCGTCACGCCGAAGACCCGGGTTCGAATCCCCATATGGATACAATGTGTGAATCCTATTTCTGGTGTCCCCCGCCGTGATGTTGCTGGAATATTGCTAAAAGAGGCGTAAAACCAAAGTCAGTCAGTCAGTGTCTTGGACTAGAGTTATTGCCCTTGGGCGTCCAAAGCGACGGTTAAGAGTTTGTTGGTATCGGGTCAACACTCAGCTCATGTCAGATTGATAACAACCAACAAGTTTCTGACGTGTGCACAACTGCAACATGCCAATGGTACGAACATGTACAAGCGTTGCAAACATGTCATGCTCGAGATAGTTACGTCTCTCATTATTCAATGTGTTCAGTACAGTGCCTTTGAGCGTTTCTTTGCAGCAAAACAATATGCATCTGCTGACTACCGAGTCTACATGACAATGGTAAATCTGGCACACTACACTTTGTACGCGTTGTCCGAGTTCACTTGCATCATTACTGTTACAATGTTGAGTTGACCCGTGAAGATCCGGGGTAGAATAGGTCTTCAGCAACCCATGCTTGCCACAAAAGGCGACTATGCTTGTCGTAAGAGGCGACTAACGGGATCGGGTGGTCAGGCTCGCTGACTTGGTTGACACATGTCATCGGTGGTTCCCAATTGCGCAGATCGATGCTCATGTTGTTGATCACTGGATTGTCTGGTCCAGACTCGATTATTTACAGACCGCCGCCATATAGCTGGAATATTGCTGAGTGCGGCGTAAAACTAAACTCACTCACTCACTCACTACAATGTTGAGTTTGATTTCTTCCTCAATATTTCGGTCGGATTCACAACTTCTGTCTTACAATTGAGGCGATGATTCAGTGTAGATCCTTACACTTCTATCAAAAAAGCGCTCTCCTTTGTTTATGACACCAACGTTTTAATGCCACTTAAAGAATATTTATAAGAAATATAAGGTTGTCCCATTGTATAATCCCAACTAGAAAGAAGTATCTCGTAAATCTTGATAATTAAAGAGCTTTTCAAAGTAAATAAAACCTAAATAAAAATGACAATTAACGTGATAAACTGTGTGTTTCTCGAGAGTTGACGTCAACTTTTTAACCTGTAACCTTCCACTGTCGCCATGGATATGTGAACTTCTGGGTTGCATCTGGTCTTCACCAACCTCTGTTTGTTATAAGAGGCGACTAACGGGATCGGAAAGCAAGGCCCGATGCATGGTTGACGCATGTCATCGTATTACCTAGATCGATGTTCATGCTGTCAAGGGGCGGTGGGGTAGTCTAGTGGTTAAAGCGTTGGCTCGTCACGCTGAAGACCCGGGTTCGAATCCCCACATGGGTACATTGTGTGAAGCCCATTTCTGGTGTCCCCCGCCGTGATGTTGCTGGAATATTGCTAAAAGCGGCGTAAAACCAAACTCACTCACTCATGCTGTCAAGCACTGGACTGTCAAGTACAGAACCCGACTATTCACAGACTGGCATCATACAGCTGGAATATTGTAGAATGCGGCGTTAAATGACAAACAGCTTCAACCATAAAGTAAATTAGGAGAGATGAACCGCTGATTTAACGCCACAGACAATAAAACTCTTTGGGGCACGTTAACCCGCCACAGTGCTGGTACATGATTCTCAGTAGTCAACGAGGCTCGGAATATAGAAAAAAATAATACACTCGGCACCGATATTTGGTGCCGTCTTGCAGGAAGAACGGAAGAGTTTCTATTTGGGAAAAAAACATTACTGTTGTTTTTCATGATCACGAGTACACACGAAAACACATGGAAAAGTCAGAAACGAATCTAACAACTCGGAGATAGGCGATCACAGTGGAATGGTTCAGGTTGATAAGGGGTTACGATTTCCGGTGAAGTTTTCATTGGAAATATATAATTATCGTGACTTCTCTCTATTCTTCGAAGATTTATTTGTTTTCCAAGATGAATTTCATCAAAACTGCTAAAAAAGACCCATTCAACATGAACATCTCCGATTCATTCACCGCGTTCATCAAAATGTGTACACCGACACCTCTAACTTTATGTG